CTACCAATTCTTAAAAGGCCGGCAACGCACTTGCGAGTCCTCTTGCATTGAACGTCCATAGGTGGTAGGAATTTCCGAACCAATTCGACTTAGGACCTTCAAGGAGCCTACCGATTCTTAAAAGGCCGGCAACGCACTTGCGAGTCCTCTTGCATTGAACGTCCATAGGTGGTAGGAATTTCCGAACCAATTCGACTTAGGACCTTCAAGGAGCCTACCGATTCTTAAAAGGCCGGCAACGCACTTGCGAGTCCTCTTGCATTGAACGTCCATAGGTGGTAGGAATTTCCGAACCAATTCGACTTAGGACCTTCAAGGAGTCTACTAATACTTAAAATGCCGGCAACGCACTTGCGAGTCCTCTTGCATTGAGCGTCCATAGATGGTAGGTATTTCCGAACCAATTCGACTTAGGACCTTCAAGGAGTCTACTAATACTTAAAATGCCGGCAACGCACTTGCGAGTCCTCTTGCATTGAACGTCCATAGGTGGTAGGAATTTCCGAACCAATTCGACTTAGGACCTTCAAGGAGCCTACCGATTCTTAAAAGGCCGGCAACGCACTTGCGAGTCCTCTTGCATTGAACGTCCATAGGTGGTAGGAATTTCCGAACCAATTCGACTTAGGACCTTCAAGGAGCCTACCGATTCTTAAAAGGCCGGCAACGCACTTGCGAGTCCTCTTGCATTGAACGTCCATAGGTGGTAGGAATTTCCGAACCAATTCGACTTAGGACCTTCAAGGAGTCTACTAATACTTAAAATGCCGGCAACGCACTTGCGAGTCCTCTTGCATTGAGCGTCCATAGATGGTAGGTATTTCCGAACCAATTCGACTTAGGACCTTCAAGGAGTCTACTAATACTTAAAATGCCGGCAACGCACTTGCGAGTCCTCTTGCATTGAACGTCCATAGGTGGTAGGAATTTCCGAACCAATTCGACTTAGGACCTTCAAGGAGCCTACCGATTCTTAAAAGGCCGGCAACGCACTTGCGAGTCCTCTTGCATTGAACGTCCATAGGTGGTAGGAATTTCCGAACCAATTCGACTTAGGACCTTCAAGGAGTCTACTAATACTTAAAATGCCGGCAACGCACTTGCGAGTCCTCTTGCATTGAGCGTCCATAGATGGTAGGTATTTCCGAACCAATTCGACTTAGGACCTTCAAGGAGCCTACCGATTCTTAAAAGGCCGGCAACGCAAGTGTATATATAAATAAATCTATCGTTTGTAAAAACCTACAAATATCACGTTGACACTGATGTAACAATGTTATGAACGACTAGTGCTATACAAGTACGGTATATACAGTCAGTATAAATAAGTAGATATTACTGATATTGTAAGTCTCAGTCTATTTTTTTTTTTTTTGTATATTCTCCATCTGCAATCAGTGCTTTCACATTTAGCAAATATGTTGGATGCTTATCTCGTTCGGAGTGTGTCCTCCAGTGAGAACATCTACTCATAATTCTTCACATATAGAATGTCTTTTCGCTTAAGGCGTTTAACATAGCTCTGCATCGTGAGCTGTCGTGCAAGGGCATTGGGGTGGGCTGCTAGCCGTTCCCTGTATCTGGTCTTGATATTAGTTATTTCTTCTCTCACTGTGAGCATTCCCAGGTGTTCGTGGATCTCAGCATTAGTCACATACCAGGGGACATTACTGATAGTCCGGAGAATAATATTCTGCATTCTTTGTATGCGCATGATGGAGGAGTTACAAGCACTACCCCATAGTTGAAGGCCGTACATCCATACAGGTTTCAGGATCGACTTGTACACTAGTAGTTTATTGTCTACAGACAGTTTGCTGTTTCGGCCTAGCAACCACAGGTAGCTTTTATATCTAATATTCAGTTCATCTCGCTTCTTTTTGATGTGATCTTTCCACGTCATACGCCTATCAAGATGAAGACCAAGGTATCTGACACAATTCCGGTGAGGAAGGGTGGTATTTTCTAGCTTCACTGAGGGGCAATTGCCTTTGCATAGGGTGTAGGTAACCTGTACCGATTTCGATGTACTAGTTTTGATCCGCCAGTTTTGAAGCCATTTAGTTGTATCATCTAGGCCTTTCAGTAGAATTTTTGAGGCTATTACTGGGTCCTTGTGACTTGCCAGGATAGCGGTATCGTCTGCGAACGTGGCTGTAGTTATGGTACTTGAACAAGGCAGGTCAGCTGTGAATATAGTGTAGAGTACCGGACCCAACACTGACCCCTGTGGTACGCCAGCTTTTATTTCAAAGAAATCTGATGTTGTTTCTCCTTCTTTGACCTGGAATAATCTACACAGTATTCTTTTTCTTACAGTGTCTTTCTTATCTTGTCGCAGACTCTATGAACCTGTTGTCTATTTATGGCAAATATAATTATAATATATTTGCCATAAATAGAAACCGCTGTGTGAGTTCGAAAAGTGAGTTACAGAATCGCAAGGCTGGTGCTTTTCTCAACGAATAAGTATCGCAATACAGCGATAAAGGTACACTGCCACAGGGACCGAACTTTTTTAATTTGTTTTATTTTTAATTAGCTTTATTATTGCTATAAGAGCAGTGTTAGCCAAGTAGCTTCAGCGTGCGACTCTCATACCTAAAGTCGCAGGATCGATCCCCGGCTGTGCACCAATGGACTTTCTTTCTATGTGCGCATTTAACATTCGCTCGAACCGTGTAGGAAAACATCGTGAGGAAACCGTATGGCAGACCCAAAAAGTCGACGGCGTGTGACAGGCACTGGAGGCTGATCACCTCCTTGCCTATTAGATTTAAAAATGATCATGAAACAGATTCAGAAATCTGAGGCCAAGACCTAAAGAGGTTGTAGCGCCACTGATTTATTTTATATACTCCGAATGGTTCCAAATATTAATTTAACCAATAGTCGATCATAAACAATACATAGCTATTAGATAATTTATTGACTTTGGATAACACATTGAAACAGATTTTGATGGATTTGTCATCTGCGATATATATAACTCGTTCCGCGAAAGCTTGCCAAGATAACTGTTTTAATTTTAAACATGAATAAAATTCTGTTTTATTTATTTTTATTAATAAATATAATTTATATTTCTTACAATTTACATAACATTTTAATTATCTAAGTATTTAGAAAGATCTAAGGTTTTAGACCATGCCTTGAGGTTATTTGTGTTTAGAAGTCGCAAGTAATCTCAAAATATATATATATATAAATTTATTAGTAGTAAAATCCTTAAAAAATATACTGTGTTCTACTTTATTAGAGATGTTTAGACGTCTCACTCGGCCTGTTGACAGACAAACACCGGCCTTTTAAAATTAGACACACGAAAAAACGGTTGTGTAATTCTGTGTGCTTAATTTTCATGTACTCAAATTTCTCAGAAACTACTAATATTAGGTCCTTACATATGAAATTGGCGTATTTCGTACTGGCCACTTTAATCAAGATGTTCTCCTCTTTGGTAAGGAATTCCAAATTCAAATTTGTACAGCTATTTACTCATGTATTTGTGCTTCGATGACCGTCATTCATTTGTTTTTTTCTTTTTTGCGTCACTCATTTTACAAAATGGAAAACTTAAAGTATCGCAATATTTACGAGTACGAGTTCCGCCGTGGCACTAGTGCTGCGGAAACGACTCGAAGGGTGAATGATGTGTATGGTTGTCATGTTGCAAAAGAAAACACAGTTCGTTTTTGGTTCCAACGTTTTCGTTCTGGAAATTTCGACCTGCAGAACAAGCCCCGTGGACGGCCTGAGACCCAAGTTGCTAATGAAGTATTGAAGGCTATTGTGGAAGCGGATCCATCGCAAACCACGTCCGAGTTAGCTGCAGGCTGCGGTGTTAGTGATAAAACTGTTTTAATTCACTTGAAGCAAATTGGGAAGATTAAAAATCTTGAAAGATGGGTACCTCACGAATTGACTGAAGCAAACCGGCAAACGCGCGTCGACTGCTGCGTTACATTACTGAACCGGCACAATAATGAAGGTATTTTAAACCGAATCATTACCTGTGATGAAAATGGATTTCTTATTCTTTACGATAATCGAAAGCGCTTAGCGCAATGGTTGGATCCTGGCCAACCAGCCAAATCCTGCCCCAAGCGAAAATTAACCCCAAAAAAGTTACTTGTAAGCGTTTGGTGATACCGGCACTAGGTCGGTATTGTTCATTGCAGTTTTCTCAAATCTGGCCAGACTATTACGGCTGATGTCTATTGTCAGCAATTGCAAACCATGATGAAAAACCTAGCGGCTAAACAACCTAGGCTGGTCAATCACTCCACGCCACTGCTACTTCTCGACAACGCTAGACCACACACTGCACAACAGACGGCCACCAAATTAGAAGAGCTTCAATTGAAATGTCTAAGACATCCTCCGTACTCCCCGGACCTTGCTCCAACAGATAACCATTTTTTTTCGAAATTTGGACAACTTCTTGCAAGGGAAACAATTTAACTCTGATGGGGCAGTCCAAATCGCCTTCACAGATTTTATTGATTCCCGTCCGACTGGTTTTTTTAGTAAAGGGATCAATGAACTACCTATGAGATGGCAAAAGTGCATAGAAAACAATGGTTCATACTTTGGCGAATACATGGCGAATTACCTAATAGAAATTATATTTTTAAAATTAAAATTTCGTAAAGAGAATTTATGAAATATTAGTATTTTATATTTCATGCAAAATAATTTTATGAAATCTTAAATGACGAATTGTAAATTAGAATTCTACGTGTTTTTATTATCGAAGAAATAAATTAAACTATTAAATTTATTAGTTGCATTAATTTTCGACACTTAATTTTGTAATGACAATTAAATTCCTAACAAGTCTCGGAAATTTTTAGATTTGTATAAATATGAACAAGACTTAAAATTAGTTTGCAAAGAAGTTTCACTTCTGTCATGTGTACTTTGTACGCACGCACTTTTTTCCTACTAAATGCCTCGAAGAGATCGCTTGATAGCGATCGCAGCATCCCTTATAAATTTTATGTATTATTTGTTTTAAACGAAGCGTAATAAATAAATACATACCCATTTGCACCAACAAAAGTCTCCTTCGCCGTGATACCATTAAAGTGTATCCGATTTTCCACTTCGCCATCAATCAATACGTCTTTCATAACAAAATTCAACACATCCTTATTTAAATTACGCCTCAAATACCGAATATCACTTAAGACCCGTCTATCTATACGCTTATCTGTGTGCCTGACGTCAGCGTCAACGTCAATGTCACTGTCAATGTCACAACTGGTCGATCCGAGGAGTAATAGGATCAGAATGGGTGTGCTGAACAGTTTCTTCCAGGAGACGAGTTTTGTTGTCGTCTTTTTCTTCGCTTTCGGCGATTTTAGCTCCATATTGAAACCTGAAACAATACAAATTTTAAGTTTTTTTTTTTAATGGCTCTGGCACGATTTGTGCATTAGCCAGCGTCAAGTATAGGATTTTTTTTATAATTCGTGCTTATCTTTAGAAATTCGACCGTGTCCTCCATGTACGGTTTAAGCACTCGCCCGGTACAACCCTCCCAAAGGCCGAGAACAAATTTAAATTAAATGAAAACTTGCCCTCGAACCGGGAATCGAACCCGGTACTCCTCATCTAGCTGCCACTAAATAAGACCGCTAGGCTATGGGCCCCTAAATTTTAAGTCATTTAGCCGTTCAAGTGTTACGTAAGCATTATAGGGGGGGAGGGGGTCTTTGGTTTTCATATTTGGTGATTACGTCAACAGTAATTATTTACTTTTTTTACACATATTACCCACACATTGTCTATGCTTGATAACGAAATGCATTTTCGAGGATTCCTACAAAAAATTAATACGTTTATGTACTATTAATTTTGAGAGGTTTGCTGATAAGAGGAGGGGGGGAGATAAATTGCAGTAAATCTGCTTACGTAATTAAGTAATGCCTATGGACACATTCAATGCCAGAGGGTCTTTTAAGAATTAGTACGCTATTTAAGGACCCTAAGTCGAAATGGTTCGGAAATAGCTACCGCCTATGGACGCTCAATGTAAGGGGGCTCGCAAATGCGTTACCGGCTTTTTAAGAATTGGTATGTTCTCTTCTTGAAGGACCCTAAGTCGAATTGGTTAGGAAATAGCTACCGCCTATGTTCGCTCAATGCAGGAGGGCTCGCAAGTGCGTTGCCGGCCCTTTAAGAATTAGTACGCTCTCTTCTTAAAGTCGAATTGGTTCGGAAATAGCTACTGCCTATGGACGCTCAATGCAGGGGGGCTCGCAAGTGCGTTGCCGGGCTTTTAAAAATTGGTAGGCTCGTTGAAGGACCTAAAACGAATTGGTTCGGAAATAGCTACCGCCTATGTTCGCTCAATGCAGGAGGGCTCGCAAGTGCGTTGCCGGCCTTTTAAGAATTGGTACGTTCTCTTCTTAAAGTAGATTTTTTTCGGAAATAGCTACCGCCTATGGACGCTCAATGTAAGAGGGCTCGCAAGTGCGTTGCCGGGCTTTTAAAAATTGGTAAGCTCTCTTCTTAAAGTCGAATTTGGCGCCGGCCGGCAGTTGGCGCTTGCTCTGTTTTATCGACTAGTTGCATTATCTGTCATGTTATTTAAACCAAAATAATGATTTCTATACGAGAAAACCCGTTCCAAATGATAAAAAACATAGTGTTTATTGTAAAATATCATGATTAGTACATATTATATCGTTTTGATTGGAAGTGACCATTAAAACGTCCCTCAAAGTGCTCGAAAAAAATTATTACGCCAAAGAAGTTAACTTCTAACGCGTGTACACACACGTTTTTCTTTATAAGAAAGGATGAGTTATGAGATGGCCATCTTAATTATTAAGGACGTAGAAATACTCCGCGTCCCGTCCACCGCCATTTTGTTCTACGTATGCATTAAAATTAAAAGCGTCAGCAATATTGTTTTCACGATTAAATTACAATCAGAATTTAATTACGCTGATAGATAATTCTTACAAGTGTATTCATTACATAATATATTATTGACTGAACATTGTCAGAGACTTCGCTTTATAAATTAACTATTTATTCGATTAATAATGTGTCCAAATGATGCAGCGTGAATATATTTTATCTACTTTAAATACCAGAAGCGATAAAGTATCTATTTTCATTTAGGAATTAATTTATTACTACCAAATGTGCATTTGAATAAATTATCAATTTTAATTGTAGTTATGGTTCACTATTTTGGCTATAATGGCTAACACATAAGATATAGATATATACTGTGGCGGGCTTTTTTGTAGGACTATTTAAGATCAACATTTCCATCATACATTCCATATGTGTAACTCTAGCGGTTTTGGCAGCGCACGCCAGAATAGCTCGCAGATGGTAGATTTTTTCTACTTAATATTGTGGACAATAATTTCGTACCGGTGATTTACGTAGAGTCAATAAATTTATTGATAACATCTATCGTAGAATGACGTACAAGATAACGATTGTATGACGTTTTTCCTGATAGCTACATTAAAGATTGAGTAATAGGTGAAGCGGCTGTGAAAAGTGCGATGACGTCATTCTCTGAAACGCGGTATCGAAACAATTCCCGCTGAGTATATACACTTCGACTGGTCGAAAATCAATCATAGATTTCCCCTCGTCCCCAACACCGGTATAGGTTTAGGAACAGGTTGGTGGAGTGAGATTCCGCACTAAGACTCGTAAATTAATAATTTAGATAGCTAGCTTCAGTCCTGCCCATCAGGAAATTGACCACCGCGGCGGCCCAAGCCGAGTCTCGAGAAGGAACGGTGATCGATTTGCTCCTCATCTTTCCCTGTATTACAGTGGTGTCATATCCGGTGTTGGGGGCTCCGGAATTATGCCTGCTGGCCCGTATCCTTTCCTCCCCTTGCCTCTCGCTAGTGCGAACCTGGATTTGCCAGAAATCTCCTTGTTAGACTCTTAGCTCAGTCCATCAGGGCAGAACGGAAGCTGGCTGAAGTGAGCAAAGTTAAGGTGGTTCCCGCGGGAGGTAGCTATTGCTACACCCTCCCTCGCGAGGGGGATGTTTATGGGGCGTTTGTAGGGCGATTAAAAAGAGTGGCGGAGAGTTTATTGCCAGTTCTTCTATTTCGTTCTACGCCCTTGATTTAAGCACTGGCTGTAAATGTAAAATTAGAAGCATTTAATGTATATTTATTTTTTGACGTTCATAAGAACATTGTGTTACCTACATAGATTTTTGACTTTGACTTTAGGCCCGTTCGGGACATATGCCCCCTTCGGGTGGTGTCTTTGTAGTTTGTTGATTGTTCGCACCCTGCTAATACAGGGCGGCACCCGTGTGCTGCAGCTTGATGAGGGCTGCAGCGCAGATGTGGACCCTAATCTGTGAAGACGTAGGTATATAAACTTAGTAGGAAACACTTCGATAGCGCGTTTCAGGGTATGACGTGATCGCAGTGATTTGTAAACGCTGCTACAATTTCAAATAGTTACCTCAACCTATATACAATAAAACGAGTTAAAACAAAAGATTACGTAATGGAGGAATTTTAATTGAGTCGCTCAATGCAGTTATATACCCAGAGACAGGAGATTCAGAGCCCAAAGCGCGGGCTATCGTATGTCAAATTAGAAAAATTAAAAGATCTTCCGACTAGAAGAGACTTTTGGAAAAAAAAATACTATTCAATAAATGATTATTTGCGTGAGAAACTGTAGTTGATATAAATTTAATAAATAATATATGAATTGACCAATTCATATGACTAATAATGTAAATTGTAAAATTCCTTAAGACAAATTTGCGCGCCATTTTATGTGGCAGAACATACGATCTTACGATTGTATCACCTTACACATTTTTGTACCATATTCTTGACATACTGATACCTAGAACTTGTAATTAATAAATCGATTAATAATTATTTATTATTTAAACATAAAATCCTTTAAACCTGCGCCATCTGTGAACAGCATTAGCTAACTTGACACATCGGCGTTGTTACAAGTTTTTGAGTATCTTATTTGAGTTTCATGTAATAGAATTATTTAATAATTTTAAATGCTATACATTCACTTTAAAACTTGTTTTGCGAGTTTATCAACACTCTTATAACTAAGCAAGGTTGAGTGAAGTACGTATAAAATAAAATAAAATAAAATAGTATTAAATAAATAGTAGTAAATACAAAAGGGGCCTTTCAAGCGTAACGTAAGCACCACAGGTGGAAGGGGGGATTCTTTGGTGAATACGTCAACAGTAATTATTTACTTTTTTACACATATTTCCCACACATTGTCTATGCTTGAAATAAGTGCATTTTCGAGGATTCCTACAAACGTTTATGTACTATTATTTTCGAGAGCTTTGCTTACTTTTGCTGACAAGAGGGGGGGATAAATTGCAGTAAATCTTACGTAATACGTGAACTTTCAAAGCCTTATTGCACTTTTGTTGTTGACTGTTGGTACATAACTCTCTCATCCCTGAGGTCGTAGTTTCGATCCCCGGCTGTGCACCAATATACTTTCTACGTGCGCATTTTACATTCGCTCGTACGAAGGAAAACATCGTGAGGACACCGGCGTTAAGCCCAAAAAGTGGACGGCGTGTGTTTAAGATCTGTATATTTCGTGGTTTTATGAGCTATTGTTTCTTGTATGTTGTGCGTGGGGTATAGCGATATCTATTAATTAATATTATTAATGGTTCTAAAAAAAAAAGTGTTTGTACTTATGTACACGCGTTAGAAATTATACTTTGGCGTAACAAGATAAAAATCTTTTCAAAAAAATTTATTCTACGTTTGTAGAAAAAACGACACTAACAATAGAATAACTAAAAATGTTGACTATAGCTAACTTCAGGGTGTCGGTTTTTTGTGACGGTGTGCGAGAACATCGTAAAACTTTACTCTCATCATTTTCCCTAACGCGCCAAAAGAAGTATAACTTCAAAAAGGTATTTAATACATTGATAGTTTTATTATACCGCATTATAAATATCACAAAAACTAAAATGTTGACTATAGCTTCAGGGTGTCGGTTTTTTGTGACGGTGTGCGCGCGCATCGTAAAAATTTACTCCCATCATTTTTCCCTAACACGCTAAAAGAAGTATAACTTCAAAAAGGTATTTAATACATTGATAGTTTTATTATACCGCATTATAAATATCACAAAAACTAAAATGTTGACTATAGCTAACTTCAGGGTGTCGGTTTTTTGTGACGGTGTGCGCGCGCATTGTAAAAATTTACTCTCATTTTTCCCTAACGCGCCAAAAGAAGTATAACTTCAAAAATGCTTTTAGTTACATACATTCTGTCTGATTCACGTTTAACCAAAGCTATCAATATGTTTATGTTAAAAATAATTATTTTTTATATTATCTTTTCAA